AAATATGTTCCTCTCACCCCTGTTCATCGGATAGATCTAAGAGTCTGGAGTTTCCCTCGGCCGTTTGGTCACTGTCTCAGCTCTAGATTAAATTGTATGTGTGTGTATGTTGGGCAGGAAGGGGGTGTGGTTTGAGGTTTTGCTTCCTCTCCTACCTTCCAGGTTTGGGAGGCTGGAAGTTTGGCTGGGAGCAGGAGGCTCTGGGTTTAGAGACATGGGGGCAGTGAGGGCTGGGCCTGGGGTCCCCAGGCCTTTTTGACAGACAAATAGGAAGCCCAAGCTGACCTTGCAGAGGCCAGTGTGTGTATGTGTGGGAGGCGGGTGGGGATGAGCAGTGGCTGCTTTGCACACAGCTGAGGACGTGGCTGGATGGTCTGACACCCCTCTCCCCTGGGACGTGGCAGGGAGCCTGTAGCGTGATGTCACTCACCACCCACCCACCCCCAGCTCTGTTCTCGGAGGAGGTCTGGCACCTTGTCCCACCCTCGGAGCAGCTCTGGCAGGGTTGGGGAAAGGGCAGTACAAGGCCGAATGCACCCCCACGATCACTCAGCGAGGTGCTGACACGCTGGCCTCTGACCCTGTGAGGCGGTTCTCAAACTTTATCACTGAAGTAACTGCACTAGCCAAGGAGAGACTAGGTCACCCCAAGACTAGGGCCAGGCAAGGGCGGGGAGCAGCAGCGTCTGATGGGGGGGCCCCAAGGGGGTCATCACAAGCTGTGAGATTTCATTGAAGTCTCTTGTTTTATCTCAAAAAGTTCATGTGAATCTTGCATTCACAGCCATACTCCAACTATGCTATTTTTAAAACAAAAAAAAAAGCTTCCCTCCGACATCTTTGGGTAGAACTGACCCTTCCTTCAAGCAGCGGAGCAGTTGCCCAGCGCCACCCCCGCCCCCGCCTCCGCCCCCGGAGGGCCCAGGCTGGGGAGCTTCGTCAGACTTCAGGGCTGGTCCCATTTGTCTTATCTGACACGCCTGAGAAAAATGGCAGCTCGGACTGGTCCCCATGGGCCAGCCTCCTCGCAAACCGTGACGACGACGCAGGTTACTTTCAGTGACGGAGCCTGCCGTGCCAGGTGCTTTCCACACGCCACCTCTCACCTGCTTCTCAGGGCAACACGAGGAGGTCGCACTGCGATGTAACCCCACTTTACAGAGATGAAAACCTGGAGAGGCGAAGCGACCCGCTCTCGGTGGCCCCCGGAGGTGGGGCTGGGGGTTGGATCCTCGCCTTCCAGCTCCTGGCTCCTCCCTGCGGGGCTCTGTGTCGCTGGGTGTGGCGAGGGCGGCAGGGAGGGCTCCTGAGAGCAGGTCCTTGCTTCCAGGCGCCCCCCTGGTGAGCATGCCCCCCAGGATCCACGGCTACCTGCACCGGCCCCTGCTGGTCTCCTGCTCCGTGCACAGCGCCCTCCCCTTCCAGCTACAGCTGCGGCGGAAAGGAACCAAGCTGGGCGAGGAGAGGCACTTCCAGTGAGTGGCCGATGGCCGGCCGGTTGTCCCCAGCCACGGGGCTCCTGGGGTCCTGACGCCCTGGAGGGGTCTGAGGGGAGCGGGTGGCAGGAGAGGGACCTTTGGGTCATACTGTCTTCCAAGGCCGCCCACACCTCCCAGTGTGGCCAGGGATGGGGGAGGGTGGTCCCTAAGGTCCCCACCACTGCTGGCCTGTCACCCATGAAGGAGCCACGGGCCTTCCTTAGTTTCCAGAAAAGTCACCCCATGCAGGGCCTGGCTCCATGGCAGTCAGGGCAGGAAAGACCCTCGGAGACCCTCCCCCTTATGCATGCACTCGTAAGTCTGGGGCTCAGGGGAGGGGACTTGCCCAAAGTCACACGACATAACGTGGAATTTGCATGTCCTTGGCTGCCTGCCTCCTGTCACCGGGTCTCCTCCAAGCGGCTTTGGGGCTTCCCCTCAGGGCAGGGCTCAGGAGAGCGAGCCCCCTGAGGCCCACGCGAGCCTGGGGCTCCCTGACGGGGGTCAGTGCGACCGCGTCCCTCCAGCGGCCCTGTGTTCGCAGGGAGTCAGGAAACAGCAACTGGGAAATCCCCCGGGCCTCCAAGGCGGAGGAGGGCACGTACCAGTGCACGGCCGTCAGCGGGGCCGGGACCGGCCAAGCAGAGGCCCAGGTTGTCATTACAGGTCCGTGTGTCCTCTCCCTACACCCCTTTCTGACTTTTCCCTCTAGGATTTCCTCGCAGGGTGTCCCCATCTGTGGGGGCGCATGCCAGCCAGCCAGCTGCTGGAGACGATCCATCATCCAGAGTCCACGCTGCCACCTGCTTGGTGGCCCCCGTTTGGGCTGAAGGTCTCAGTGGGAGGAAGGTTGAGGGCTGGGGCTCAGGCCGTGCCCCGCCTGCCCAGCTCTGGCCCCATCCCTGACTTCCTGGTCTGGCCTTTGGGGCGTGGCCAGACCCCCAGACCCTTTCAGGGGGTCACTGTCTATTTAACTTCTGATTCCTTGCACCTCCGCGTCCCTGCCAGAATGGCCCCATCCAGCTCAGGAAAACTGGAAATGCCACAGACTGTCTCGCAGTGAAATTGGCTTTATTTTTTAAACTATGAATCTCAGGTGTCTTGAGGAGAAGCAAAGGAGCCCATCAAGCAGGGAACGGGCCGCTGTGTTCTTGAATCTTAGACAAGACCACCGTGCTGCCCATGGGAAGACTGGGAAATACGACAGGCAAAGAGAGTCGAAACAACCGGGGTCCCCCCCGCCCTACAGATGACCCCAACAGCATTTTGATTTATTTACTTCCTTTCGGACCTCTATCTATGCTCACATTTCAACAAAAATGGGAGAATATCATACGTACTTCCAACGGCCTGATTTTTTATCACCTAGCAATACGGCAAGTTGGCAAACGTGCTTTGGTGGCACGAAGTAACAAAAATTTACTTTTTATAAATGATGAGCAAAGAGAATCGAACAGTGTAAGAAAACTGGTCTACCCGTTACTTAGACTTACCAGCTGCTAATCATTTGCCATATCTTTTTTTGCACTTTTTGGCTATTTTAAACTCAAACTCAGGCCTTCAGACTCCACATCCTGTCACTGTCTAAAACGCACCTCAATCAGCTTCTAATACAGGTCGGCCCCCCAACACACAGATACCCCAGCATGCAGGCTGGCGTATTGGGGTACATTGGTGTAATACATTGGCATCAATATATTTCAGTATTTATCTCTTTTTTAAATAGTAGATTTTCCCGGATAATGAAGAATCTATGACCACACCTAATAAAATGAAGTGATATCTTAATGCTATTTAATGTTGTCCTCATTTGGCCCAGAAGGCCATTTCCAGTTGGTTTCTACGATATTATTTTTAGTGGCCGTGGAGGTCAGATGCTCTTGAGCACACTTACGCCTGGACGTCACTGCCATCGTCACACGTAGGCTCTGTGGATTCAGCTTTCTCTCAGGCCCGCGTCCCTGGTTAGACGGTCTCTGACCTTGGCACTTCTCACGGCTTTTTCCTGTCACGATAGCGGGTTCCGTGCTCTTCCCCGCTCCGGGGCAGAGGTCCTAGCTCTACATTTGGACGTTGTAATGGCCCCACTGTTTGTGCAGAGAATGGCTTTGTACTCTTTGCCCTTCCCCTCGTGAGGGTTATTTTAAAACCTGAGCTTTATTCCCCGGGATGGGAGTATTAACTCGAAGGAAGCGAAGAATGGTGTGGCTCTCGTTAAATATCGCGCTCGGCGGTCACGTGCCAGGCGAGCACGCGCCACGTGGCCCTCGGCGGCTGTGTGACAGCAGCAGAGAAATGGCCCCAGGGTGACACCATCCCAGGATGGTGACAGACGCTGGTTAACTCGCTGGTCAAGGTGTCCTGAGGGATACAGTGCTGGTTCCGGCGTCTGGACACCATTGGGGTCTGTAGGATGGTGCCCTTCCCCGTGGCAACCCATCTGAGTCACCTGTGCTCATCTCCCCACAGACCCCCCACCACAGCTGGTTCCTGCCTCCAACGTGACCGTGTCCCCAGGGGAGACTGCCATCCTGTCCTGCCGGGTCCTGGGAGAGGCCCCCTACAACCTGACATGGGTGCGGGACTGGCGAGTCCTCTCGGCGTCGACAGACAGAGTCACGCAGCTGGCCGACATGTCCCTAGAGGTCAGCGGCGTCATCCCCAGTGATGGTGGGCGGTACCAGTGCATAGCCAGCAATATCAACGGGGTCACGAGGGCGTCCGTCTGGCTCCTGGTGCGAGGTGAGGCTCTTCCTGCCCCTGGTGTTCTCCCAATCCCATGCCCCTAAGTTTGGGAACAACACTTGTGCAGGCGCTGGGGTCCCCTCAAGGTTGCTGGAGGCAAGCCATCCTAGCTCTGGCATCAGGCTGACATCTCCCTAACTCAGCCTCTTCGAGGTGCTCAGCCCAGAGCAGAACGCCAGGGAGCTCGAGGCTCCCACTGGGGGCGTTGGGGAATCACCTCCTCGTGTGCCCTAGGGATGTGTCTGGGTGGCCACCTGGTCAGCCCCAGTTCCCAAGGAAGCCACTCCTAGGGATTCAAGCTCTTCAGGGCCTTTGCTTCCTATGTCTCTGCCGTCTCTGGCTGTGGGAGGGGAAGGGGGCCAGGCCTGGGGGCCTGGGACAGACAGCACGGCCGCTCTGACAGGCTCTTCCCGACCTGTCCACTCTTTGAACTACAGAAGCCCCACAGATCAGCATCCACACCAGATCCCAGCGCTTTTCCCAGGGCATGGAGGTGAGGGTCCGCTGCTCAGCCTCTGGGTACCCTGCACCCCACATCTCCTGGAGCCGTGATGGTCACGCCCTGCAAGAGGACAGCAGGTGAGGAGCCTGGGGCCCAGGGCTCTGGGACTGGGAACAGGTGGACAGGGACTCCCGGGGGACCTCTCCTGGCCTCGGTCTTCCTCCCTGTCAGCGGGGAGCGGCATTTGCTCTGCCTTCCTCCTGGGATCATTGGAGACTCGGGAGCGAGGTCACTGTAGAAATATAATGACAGATGCCTCGGTGTGGGCTCCGGGGTCAGGAGCTGCAGCTATGGAATCCAGCAGCCACGAGCTTGAATGCTGCCTCTGCTGTTCAGGCCGTGTGGCTGCGGGCAAGTCACCTTACCTCTCTGAGCCTCGCGCATGACAAAAGACAATGTATGTGAAGTGCTGAGCAGACAGCCCGGCACAGAGCCAGCGGTCAGCGTAGAATGGGGGTCACTAGTGATGTTGTTAATTAATTTATTATTAACGAAGATGGAGCAACCCTTTGTGCCCCGACCTGATCGGCCCCTTGCCATTGAACATGTCATTTTCTGGCACGACTCCAGAGTCCATGTGGATGCCCAGGGGACCCTGGTCATTCAGGGAGTGGCCCCAGAGGACGCCGGGAATTACAGCTGCCAGGCAGCTAATGAGGTTGGCACAGACGAGGAGACGGTCACCCTCTACTATGCAGGTACTTGGGCCACGGGCATCTCAGGAGGGGGCACTCCCTCCCTCCCTCCCGTCTGCAAATACTTACTCAGCATCTGCGCATGTTCCGGGCAGCAGGACACAGCCGTGAACACATGATCCCTCGGGGGTCCGCCAGGAGGCTGGCGGGGAGTGAGTGGGGTGGGGTGGAGGAGGGGCAGGCAGCCCACATAGGGCATTTTAGGACCTTATAGGGTTTTGACTTTCATGGCAAGTTCAGTGAGGAACAGGAAGGGAGTTTTGGTGTCTGGAGTGACTGGCTTTAGGTTGAGGTCGCGGGTGGGAAGCTTTTACAAACCAGCTGTGGCTAGATATTTGTGGATGACTGTCCTCACTTGGCGGGGGAGGGGGAGGAGGCGGGGTACTCAGTGCCACCTGTATCCTCACCACCTGCAGAAAGCCACGTGTCATTCTGGGGAGCTTGCGGGCTGCTCCCAAGTTCCCCGTCTGTCCCCACACAGACCCGCCGTCCGTCTCTGCCATCAGCGCCGTGGTGCTCGCAGCTGTCGGGGACGAGGCCGTGCTGATGTGTGAGGCGTCCGGGGTGCCCCCACCCCGGGTCATCTGGTATCGAGGTATGTAAGAGTGAAACCTGCGGAACTGTCTCACTGGAAAGTCAGCTTTCCAGAATGGTCGTGGGGGGCACTCCCAATGGGGTGTCTGGGGAGAAATGGCCCATTCCAGCAGCACCCCGCCCCCCACAGCCCAGAGTCCTGACAGCTGATGCAGGATGGCTCCGGAGTTAGGAGCGGGTTTGCATCTGGCTCCCTTGGGTGACCTTGGCCAGCCGACTTGGCATCTCGGAGCCAACCTCCTTCCCTGGGAAATGGAGGGGAAATCATGGTTGGTTGTGCGAGGATTAAACGAGTCCACACAGGCGAGGTGTTTAGAACAAGCCTGGCGTGCGAGCTGGGCTCCGCGTTCTTAGCGACGGTGACCACGCCGAGCCGGAGTTTGATTGACGGGAGCCAGTCTTGCCCTCACACCCAGTGGACCTGGGTGCCCAGGCTGCTGCCTCAGGCTTTCCAGGAGCAGAATACTGGGCTCCTTGTCAGGTATCAGCCAGAGTCACCGGTACTGCCCCTCCCATCTTGACGGCCTTCGTCCTTGGCCATCTTGCCAGAGCCTCACCTGGACTTTGAGAAAGGCAGGTATTAACTCAGAGTCCCAGCAGGCAGGATTAGCTCAGACTGAGCATTTTATCCAAGGTCACCAGCTAGTGGGTGGCAGAAGTTCAGGGCTTGGATCACTGCACATTCTGGCCAGAGCCCCACCAACCCAGCCCTGGAGCCCCCCTTTAAAAGGGGGTCTCTCAGTCGAATGAAATTCTAGCTGTATGACAATGTGAATGTAGTTAACGGTGCTGAACTTTACAGCTAAACATAGCTAAGATGGCAAGTTTTTTGTTATATGTTTTTTACCACAATAAAAATTTCTTAATTTGGAAAAAAAAAAAAAAAAAAGAATGAAGTTCAGACACAACACAGATGAACCTTAAAAACGTGACACTGAGTGAAATAAGCCAGACACAGAAAGACACATACCGCATGATTCCACTTATACGAGACAGAAAAGAGAATGGTGGGTGCCAGGGGCCGAGGGAGGGGAAGACGGGGAATGACTGTTCGACGGGGCAGAGTTTCAGTTTGAAAAGATAAAAAGCCTATTTTTCCGAACCCCTTTTTAAATTTTAGTTTAACTGTTTCGTGGTAAAATACACATAACAACATTTACCGTCAGTGGCATTACGTGCCTCCGCATGACCATCGCCACCATCCATCTGTACAACTCTCATCTCGCAAAACTGAGACTCTGTCCCTGTTGAACAGGGGTCCTGACTTTTGGAGGGACCCTCCCCCCACTGCGCCCAGGCCCCAGCCTTGTGAGATGCAGGAGCCCAGGGTCAGGAGGCAGCGCGAGCCCCCAACCCTCCATGGTGACTGTGAAAACCTGCCCAATGCTTTGTTGACTTTGGTCCAGGTGGTCTCGAAATGATTCTGGGCCCCGATGGCTCCAGCTCTGGGACGCTGCGGATCCCGGATGTTCGGGAGAGGGATGCTGGCGTCTATACCTGCCGAGCTGTCAATGAGTTGGGTGACGCCTCTGCAGAAATCCGGCTGGAGGTTGGACGTGAGTGTACACCTGTCCCCACCTGTCCCTCCCCGCTTTGCCCTGCCTCTGAGCAGAGAGGAGAGAAGTCTACCAGGCAGCCGGCCAGTGTGGAGTTTGCATCATGTGGACCCCAAGCTCTTGGGGACAAGGGAGGTCAGAGGGGAGTTGTGTGTGCATTACCTCTTGCCATTGTCACAAATTGCCCCCAAAGCTTTGTGGCTTAAAACAATAAGCATTAATTATCTCTCGATCTGGAGGGCTAAGATTCTGGGAGTGACTTAGCTGGGTGGTTCTGGCTCAAGGTCTCGCAAGATGACAGTTCCTACGCTGGCTGGGCCTGCATGGTCGGAAGGTCTGGGGCAGGAGGACCCGCTTTGAGCTCGGTCACGTGACTGCTGGCAGGAGGCCTCAGCTCCTCACCACCACGCAGGCTTCTCCAGGAAGCTTCTTCTGACATGGCTTCTTTGAGAGAGAGAGAGAGAGAGTGAGAGAGAGAGAGAAAGACTGACCTTTTACAACCAGCTTCAGTCTTGGAAGTGACATGCACCCACTTCTACCAATTCTATTCTATCGGTCACAGACCAGCCGTGGCACACGGAGGGTGGGAGGGAGATGCACAAGGGTGTGAATACCAGGAGACAGGGGTCTTCGGGGCCATCCTGGAGTCTGCCTACCCCAGAGACAAGCTCGGGCCTCTCATCCTGAGACTCGAGCTCTGGTCTGGTCTCCATAGCGTACCATCTACGTGCTTCAGTCCAGAATCGAGCCTCAGTGTCCCCAGCTGTAAAGTGGGGCTGACCATACCACTTTCTTCACTGGGTGGCTGTGAGGGCTCGGTGACATCGGCGCATCATGCTTAGCACAGGGTCTGGCCCATCGTGAGCCAGAGTCTGGGTTCTTCTGTGGCTGGTACGTGGCCTTGGCTGTGAGTGCCCTGATGTGTAGTTTCAGGCCTGGACCCCAGGCCCTGGGACCTGCTCAGAAGTTGTGGGCGCAGCTCCTTGGCGCGCTGGGCTGGGACGGATTGGGCTCGGAGGGTTTGCTGCATCCACAGCGGGAGCGACAGGTGCTGGGAGTTCTGGGAAGTGCAGAGAATCGAGAATGCGCTTCTCTGGGCTGGGTGGGCCAGGCTGGGCCGAGAGGCTCCCCAAAGAGGCAGAGCCCTGGGTGGAGCAGGCCTAGTTAGGAGGGTCTGGCCCTGGGGGCGATGGTGCGTTCTCAAGGGTAGCATCCTCCCAGGCTCAGGGTGCCCTTAGCTCGCATTCATTTATTCTATCATTCATTCATTCATTCCATCATTCATTCATTCCATCATTCATTCCTGGTCACCAGGTGACCAGGCCTTGTGCATCAGGCCCTGTGTTAGGGACACACTGACAGGCGACACTCGGCATCTGCCTTCAGGTTGCGGGTGGGGTCAGTGAGAATACTCAGGGTGCCAAGCATTCGGAAGTGGCATCTTTGGGGCCGTGGGTGCCCAGGGAAGGAGGCTAACCCAACACTGGGGGTTCGGGAAGGCTTCGTGGAGAAAATGATATCCAAGCTGAACCCAGAAGCAGTCAGTCAGAGGACAAGTTGGGGACAGTGTTTCAGGCAAAGGGAACAGCGTGCACAGATCGCCCTGTGGCAAAAGAAGCTATTTAGGGAGTGAGACATGGAGCGATGGGGGAAGGGTGGCTGAGGTGGCTGCTGCCCGCTATGGGTCACTCCTGGCCTGGCCTCCAGATGGGCAGCGTCTGGGCTTTGTCCTGCGGGTGTCCTGAGAGGTTTCAAGGAGGAGAGCATTGTGCTCGGACTTTTCCTACAGGGAGTGTGTGGCGAGGCTGGGCTCTTGGATGGGGTGAGCATGGAAAGCCATGGGCTTCGAGCCTGATACCGATAAAAATATAAGCTAATGCTTCTGGGCCAGGGCCAGCTCGAAGCAGTGGTCATTACTAACATCTAGTGCTCACGACCCTGTGGGCACAGACTGGCTAAGTGACTTGCCCAGGGTTACACAGCTGGCGAGTGGCAGAGCTGAGCTCTGAACCCACGGTCCCAGCCTTTAGCCCCTGGACTTGACCCTGACGCTCGCCAGCAAGATGGGTTTGGGCGTCGCTTCTCCACTCTGAGCCTCGGGCTCCTCATCTGCAAGGTGTCTCTGAGACTTAAGAAAGGCCCGGAACGCTGTGGGCTCAGATCCATGCCACGTCTTAGCTGTCGGTAGGTTCTGGGTAACTAGAGGGTGCTCCAGGGGGACCTGCACTTGGCATTCTCACGAGCAATCGTCCTTTGCTCCATGTCTAATTTCTTTTCAGCAAAGCCTTATTTCTTTGGGGCCCAGGCTGATGTGCTCCCTGGTCCTGTTTCTTCACCGGTCAGACATTGGTCTTGGGGCCATCTCCCCATGTCAGAGGGCGAAAACGTGGGCTTCTGGGCCTCTGGGCCACTGTGGCTTCTAGCTTTTAGGTCAGAAGAGGGGTGGCCAATGGCCCAGCACCTGTATGTCTGAGGCTCATCAGCTTGGCAGCAGTCGTGAGAAATTGAATTTCCTGCCCATCTGAGTGGCAGCTGTGGCCCTGCCTTCCTGGGCAGGCTGGCAGAACCTTCCAGAGCCAGGAATGGGTAGGCTCAGTGCCCACTTCCTGCTGTCAAGCTGGCAGCTGGCTTCCTGGTGGCGTTTGGGGACATCTGAAAGAGGACAGCCTCCTCCTGGAGGACAGCAAGTGTCTGTGTTTGCGGACCAGCCCACAAGAGGCTTTTGCGTTGGCTCTGGACCGGGCACTTGGCAGTCGAGTCCTGGATCATTCATTGTCCAGCTCCTGCCGCTTATTCGGCCAGGTTATTTACCTCTCTGCGCCTCGTCTGTGAAATGGGGCGATAATAACAGAGCCTTGCTCCCAGGGTCTGGGAGAGATTTAATGAGATAGTGTGTTTCTCTCAGGGCTTGTATGGGATGAATACTCAGTTCACTTGCGTCGGGCTGGGCTGGCAAGGGCCCGTTGGGGCTGCGTGACGTGGAGTGATTTGTCCCAGGGCTGGTGGCTGGGCTCTGCGACAGGCACCCCCTCCGCAAGGTCTGTGCTAGTTCTATTCTTTGAAAAATCTGCCCTGAGCACCGGCCTGGATTGCTCTCTAAATGGATGTGTGCCCATCCCTCTCCCTGTCCTCATTTCAGTCCCTGCTTCCTGTTCCTGACCTGGAAGCTTCCGGTTGCTGAGCGGACAAGCAGGGGAACAGAGCGTGTGCTTTTGTGGGTGCTCAGACCCTTTGGCCAGCCCAGGGGAGCAGGAGAGAAGCAGAACTGGGCTCTGTGATGGGCGTGGCCAGTATGGGGGGGTCTCCCTCAGGTACAGAGCACCCAGGGCCTCCAATACTTTTAGGGGCCCAGGGCAATGCTCTGATTTTAATTTTTTGTTTAATTGGAAAGAAAAAAAAGAATGACAGAGAATAGATAAAAATGAATCCAACTGAATTATGTTCGTTTTTATACCAATGCAGCCATAAAATATTTTTAATATTTTTTTTATGGAGGGAGAGGTCCACGAAGGTCATCCTACAGCCCTGGCAGAGGACCGCGTCCTCAGTCCCAATTGTGCATCTTTATAGGGAGAAAGGAGTCCTCTGGTCGGGGGCGGGAGGACTGTGGAGGCCATTCTCCCCCAGCCAGCCCCTGGCCCAGTCTCAGTTGCTCTGGGGTACTCCCCAAGTACGGGGTGGGGCCTGAGGCTGGCCTCTCCTGTGGTCGCCTTGCCCACTTGCCCAGTCTTTGGGCCTGAGCCCCTCCATCCTCCCGGCCAGACTGAGCCACGGATGACTGCGCTGTCCTTCCCCAGCTGCTCACCCCGCCCCAGCCCTGCCCCAGGGGTGCCCGTGGGGCAGAGGCAGAGTGGGGGCGCCTTTAGGCTGGTGCTCCTGACTCTAGTGAAGGAGAAGTCAGCAGCTCTGTCATGGGCACTTCGCTGTGGCTCTTAGAATCCCCGGGGGGAGTGTGGCCCCACCTGCCGGGTCCAGTTAACCTCACCCCCAGCTCCTCTGAAAATGAGGGGACAAGGGCAAGGCAGAGGCAGCCCTCGAGGTGGCCCGACCTTCCTTTCCCGCCCCCTCCCCGGCTGGCGGCCGCGTTCTTCATGGGGCCATTCTTTCTTCCTGGGTACGCTGCCTCCCCCCACATGGAGCCGCCTCCCCACAAACACGCGCCACAGCCTCAGCTGGGAGACTGGGCCTCTCCAGGGGCCCTGGCGGCTGCTGCCATGTCCACCTGTCTGGGCTTTTGCAGCTCCTGCTCCAGAAACCTGCCTAGAGACAAGATGAAAGGCTGTCCCTGGGGAGAGCAGAAGGCAGGAGAGCTGGCTCACAGTCCCGTGCCCCCCACCCCCCGAGTTACTGCAGAGGGCCACCGGGGAGGCTGTGAGGAGGGGGAAAGCAGAGGTGGCTGAACCTCCAGGATGAGGCTCCAGGGGGAACGCTGGGCTGGGAGCCCGGCCCGAGCCCCTTGTGCTGTGGGACTCAGGGCCCCCCTCTTCTGGCCAACAAAGGGGCCAGAGGACCTTCGGCTCTGGCACACGGTTCTGGGGTCCCGCCTTGTCCGAGGAGGGCCGGCTGCAGAGGAGGCTGGGTCAGTTCCCTTGGCAGGGCCTGAGCCTGGGGTTCGGCTGCTTTGGGATCCACCTTGAGAGGGCGGAAGAGCTGGCTGGGTGTGGTTGTGGCTGGGGCAGCCGCCAGGGGACGGAGGGTGCAGGGGCTGAGAGCCTGGGCCTTCGCAGCAGCCAGACCTGGGCTCTGAGCCCAGCTCCGCCCTTGACTTTGAGCTGTGCCCTTGGGCAGGTTCCTTAATCTCGCTGACCCTCAGTTTCCTCATCTGTAACACGGGGGGTTGTGATAACATCACGTCATGAGTTTATTGAGACCGTTAACAAAATTATATTCCTAAAAGCACTGCCACCGTGCCTGTCACTTATTATATGCTTGTTATTATAAGGGTCTGTCCCTTCTCTGGGGGGGAGTTCAGGCCTGGGAGGAGAATGGGGAAAGAGAGTGTGCAGAAAGCTGGGCTATTTGGGGGCTAAGGAGGGAGGGAGTCAGGAAGCAGTCCGGGAAGCCTGCCTGGAGGAGGGAGGTTTGAGCTGGGCCCTGCAGGCGGGCTGGGTGGAGTGGGGAAGGCAGGCAGTGGGGGTAACTGCCCTGGGTGGGGGTGATGGCAGAGCTGCACCCCCAGGGCCGGGGCTCTGCAGGACCAGCGGCCCCCATCCGAGGCGAGCCCGGAGCAGAGGCTTTCTGGGATGCTGAGCTGCAGCAGCTGCCACACCCCGATGAGGTCGGGTCCAAGGCTGTCTTCCTGCCTGCAGTAATTTTCCAAGTTGTATTTATATCTCTCTGGAACTTCCCTAGTTCCTGAGGCCAGGAGGGAAATTTGATGTCATGGTTTGGATGGACAGGAGAGATTTCTGGACAGAGATAGGAAGAACGAAGAGATGTAAGACCTCCGTGGTGCTGGGGAACTTCCTGGCCACGAATCTGGGGACAGGGCCCGAAGACAGTGTCCAGAGCCTGCAGAGGACAGGGCCTGGACCTGTCCGGAGTTGGACCTACTCCTGGCCTGCCAAAGGGCTGAAAGGATCATGACAGTCTGTTTTGGGAAATAACTTATCTTTCCTCCCTGATGATAAAAGTAAGACAATGCTTAGGAAAAAAGTTTGGAAGAAACACTACAAGCTATAAACAACGGTTACCTTGGCGAGGAGCGTGGGATTTGGGGGTGCGGGGAGCAAAAACTGGGGAAATATACTCGTGCGTGTATTTAAATGTTTCATGACTCAGGTGAGCAGCGCAGCCTTGTTCAGGCCGGGCGTCCTGGTGTGTTAATTTAACACGGCCCTTTTTACTCTCGAGTGCCCCGGTTTGGACCATAAAGCATAAGGTCGCATTATTTATAACAAGCATGTTTTGATAGTACTGTTTTAGATGCTCATTACAGAAAAGTTCAGTGACAGAGGGAGATGTAGAGGCGAGATTACGGACAGCCTCTAAACTCCCCAAGGAGCTGGCTGTCTGGGGCAGCGTACACAGAAGAAGGGGCTGTGGAAATGGTTGCCCGGCTCTGGGACCCCTGCAGGATGAAGCTCCCTGTGTCCCAGAGGAGGGCGAGTGGGTCTCAGAGGCTTCTGTGGCCGGAGCGTGACTTGCAGCCCCTCGGAGGAGGGCCTCCCGGGAGGGGTCACTGCCAGGAGCAGGCGTTTGCTCCCTTCATGGCCCCTGCACGAGGCCCCTGTCACCCCCACGCAGGCCTACAAGGCGTGTCAGCAGCTTCGCGCCGGCCAAAAGCTGCTCCCTCTGCCTTGTCCCTGAGAACTCTCCAAGGGTGGACCCCGCCAAGCTCAGGTTGACCTCGGGGCCCTAGATATGAGTCAGTCCCCAGGTTCACGAGGGCCAGGCTGGAAGAGGGGGAACCTCGCAGAGATGGGCGGGGAGGTGGGTGTTGGCAACGGCCCTCTGGGGGCTGGGCGGGTCAGGGTGATGGGCGTGGCTGACCCGTCACCTCCCTGCAGGTGCACCCCAGCTGATGGAGCTGCCCCGGGATGTCACCGTGGAGCTGGGCAGGAGTGCCCTCCTGGCATGTCGGGCCGTGGGCCGCCCGCCCCCCATGGTCACCTGGCGCCGTGGGGATGGTCAGCCGCTGGGGCCCGGGCGCGGCAGCAGGAGCAGGCAGCCTGATTCGGGAGTGCTGTTCTTTGAAAGTAAGAGATCGGGACTGGGCGAGGGTGGGCAGGGGAGACGGGACAGCTTCCGACACCCTGAGCTCCCGGGCTGGGTGGCCAGAGCAGGGCCCTGAGCCTTAGCACTGACCGTGGGTGACGGAGGGTCATGCTTAGCTGGGCGACTCTGGCCGAGGCATTCCGGTACGCCGAGCTGGTCATGATGATAATAACGACAATACTACCAGCTGGGTTTCATGACAGGCCACCTGAAGGGATTGTCGTGGGTAATACATGTGAAGCGCTCAGCACAGTTCCTGCCACGTGTTGTTAGCCATTGTCGTCATCACCCTCATCATTGCTACTGCTGAAGCTACTGTCGCTATTTACCGTCTGCCAGGCTGGATGCTGGGCACAGTAGCCACATCCTCTTATCGAACCTTCCTGATCACACTACGAGGTTCTGGTATTGCTAAATTCTCCCCATGCTATTGATGAGGAATCCAGGGCCCGCCCACCCTTCCAGGGCCCGCTGTAGCCCCCGTCTGTCTCTGCCACCCCAGTCCTCCCAGCTGACTTCAGCGGGGCCAGGCTGCGCTGAGGGCTCCCTCTGCACTGGCGAGTGGTCCTGTGGGGGCTGGAGCCCCGATCGTCAGGCCCACCTCCTTCCCGCCCCCCAGGTGTGGTCCCCGAAGACCAGGCCCCGTACGTCTGTGAAGCTCAGAACGTGTTCGGGAAGGTCCAGGTGGAGACCCGGCTCGTGGTGACTGGACATGGTTCGCTGCTAGACCTAGAGATGCGGGGCAGGTGGCGAGGCCGGGCACCCCTGGGCAAGCTCCCCCTCCCTCCGGGGCCACCTGTCCTTCGGGACCGATGTGTCTGTGGCCAGGTTCTCCGAGAGGAGCACCTGGACACCCGCTTCCTGAGCAGTGTGCCCTGTGACCCCTTAGGACTGCCATTCCTGATGCTTCCGCTGGGTCCCCCAGATGACTACCCACAGGAATCTAGCGTGACCCACACCATCTCCTCTCCCCACAGCCCCTCCACAGGTCGCCAGCAGCGCCTCCACCATCCGGGTGCTGGAGAGGCAGCCAGCGTCTCTGCCCTGCATCATCCTGGCCGGCAGGCCCCTCCCGGAGAGGCGCTGGCTCAAGGCCGGTCAGCCAGTGAGTGCCGGGCTCCTGCCCGTGTGGCCAGCAGTGGCGCCCCGGGGCGGGGTGCGGGGGGCCGAGGGGGCCGTCCCATTCCCACCTTGGCCTCTACTTTGCTGATCCCCTGTTTTGGAATGTCCTCTTCCTTCCCCTCTCTCTTTCCTGCCTCTTTCCAGAACCTTCTCTGATAACGTGCTGATAGCGTCGTCATTCTCTAAAGTCCTGCCAGGGCTCCATGTGGCTGCCGGCCCCCTGGGAGCTCGGCAGGACTGTCTGTCCACCGTTAGTGCTGAGGGCAGGGAGCGGGAATTTGGCGGGGCCCAGACACATGCCTTGGTCGGTCACTCTCATTCCGAGGCAGCCAGGGCAGAGATGCGGCCTGTGCCGTTCGGTGTCTGTCTGCCTGACTCCCTAGCGCGTGCTGAGCACAGAGTGGCTGCTTTCTCCATTTGTATGGATTTGGTTTTCTCTGTTTTCGTCTATTCCCGTCTCCAGTTCGCTCCCCTGCCTCCCCTCCCCTCAGTTCTCCTGCCCTGTCCTCAGACATACCAGGGTCCTTGTGTCCTGGAAGCTATAAAGAGGTGCCCTCACCCCGTATTACTTCAAACAGGTGAATAGACACTAGACCCCTAGGGAGGCAGCGGTGGGCGGTGGGCGGTGAGGCGCCCTCCTGACCGGAGTCTGACGGGCATGTGGGAAGGAGTGGCTGGGGGCCTCGTCAATCAATGCCAGGACAGGGATGGCCGCAGGCGAAGGCTTGTTTCAGCTCAGGTGGGGGACACCTGGGGGACCCGGTCTGCCCAGCCGCCGAGTGCAAGGAGCAGAAAGCCCCTCAACCTTGCTCAGCCCAGAAGGACCCAATCCTAAGACGTCCAGGAGCGTCTCCTGGACTTGAGAGCAGATGCGCAGCCAGGCTCACGGGATGAGGACAGGGAGGCCAAACGAGGGGTCAGGCCTGGTGGAAGGGCTTCGAGCCCCTGTCCAAAGATGGACTGGCCGGTTACCTTTATGGAGGGTGCCCCAGGCCCGTTCTGGACCAGCGCTCCCCTCCCGGTGCGGACGGGGGCCTGGGCAGCCACCAGGAGCTGTTCTCCCTGCTTTTCTCTGGGACCACACCTGACGTGGCCACACCCCGGCTCTGCCATCGCTCCGAAGGCAGGCCATCCCTCCTGTCTGTGGCCTTGGGCGAGGAGGGGAAAGGCCTTGGAGCTCCAGCCCCTCCTCAGGGAAGGCTCTGGCCCCAGCCCCAACCTCCCAGGAGATGCTCCCATTGCCTGGTGTGGGTCAGGCATCTTGCCCTGGTCCAGCTGGCCGTGGGAGAGTGGGGCTGGCGGTATGCCAGGGGTCAGGCCCACCGAGCCTTGGGTGGATGAGTCTCAAGGAAGGGGTTGGGCCGGGCAGTCATGGCACCCCCCCACCCCCGCCAACTCCCCCACCTCTTCCTCTCAGTCCCGCCTGCTCCTTGCTGGCCTGGCGGGCAGTGCGGCTTCTGAGGGTTCTCTCTTGGCTGGCTCTGAACGGGGCCCGTGGTCCAAGCCGATGCTTCCTCACCCTCCCCAGCTCCCGCCTGGCAGCCGGCATTCTGTCCGAGCCGATGGCAGCCTCCACCTTGACCAGGCACTGCAGGAGGACGCAGGGAGGTACAGCTGTGTGGTCACCAACACGGCTGGCTCTCAGCACAGGGATGTGGAGCTGGTTGTCCACGGTGAGCCCTGGGCCCCGAGGTGATGGGGGTGGGGCGGGAGACTGGACGGGATGCGGGAAGGCTCCTGGGGGGACCTCAGGCTTGAAAACCTTTGCTTAAAAGAACTTCGAAAATTGCATGTATTCGTAATTTAGAGATTGGACAAGTAAAAAAAAAAAATCCTTTAATACTAGTAGCTAAGAAGAACCAGAATAATTACAGATTTCAGTGTGTCTTTTCACACTGTAATATACATATGAACTCCCACTTGCACACACCTCACCATAGGTGTATCATAAATTGTGTATACTATAAATGACATAGGTTCTTCAAGTAAATGACATATAAATGATTTTTATGGCATAGTCATTATATAAATCATATATCTACATTGCTATCCATCTATCCATAAATTCTTCATAAGCACATATGCATATTTTGAAACCAAGCTGGGACTACATTATTGTATCATTGTCTTGCACCTCAAGTGTTTCTTGTGACGACATATCATGACTGATTTCCGCCCGCAAATTCTCAGAGGCATCGATTAAGGCCGCGTGTCCCGTCCGGATGAGCCCTGAGTCTCTCTCTCGCTGTCCCCACGTGTCTGGTCTCCCGCCAGCAGGAACACCTGAGGGACACGTCCTACCTAGTGCTCTCCCTTTGCCCACGTTCCTTGGGAGAAAACCCTTCATGTGCAATTGAGTTTTGAGTCACGGAGGTTGCACATTTTTCGGACTGTTTGTATATTTTGCCCATTGCTCTCCTACCCACAGCAACGGGGTCCGTTTCTCTTCCCCCACTGCACCAGGTACTACCTTAGAAAATGTTAAGTCAAGAAGTTTAAAGGACGTTTGGTTACGTTTCATAATTTACCAAGTATTTTAATATCCTTTTTTTTTAAAAAAAAAAAAACACTTTGTTTCATAAACTACCCAAGGGGTGAACGGGAAGAACACATTGTTCCCCATTATTTAGGAGGAAACCAGATCTCAGGAGGAGGCAGGGTGTACAGCCCAAGTGTCTTGTCTCCCCATAATTCCGGCTAACAATAGTGATCAAATGTTGGCCGTGGGCGGGCCACGGAGACCTCTGTGGGGTTCTGGGTATATTACCCTTCATTTCCATAACTCCTCCAAGACGTGGGTTTTTAAAAGACTCCCCATTCGAAAGTTAGGGAAGCTGAGAGGCGGTAACTCAACAGGGTCACAGATCAGCCAGCCAGGCTGCCTCTGCAAAGCCGGCACCCCCTAACTCCCCGGGACCCCCTAAGCCCCACCGTGTTGGCACAGCCTCTTCCGCGGGGGTGGCGTGAACAAGCTCTGGTGTCCTGTCTTCCCCTCCTGACTTTTCCACAGCTGCTTTCCCCTCCCCCACGCCTCTTAGAGACCCCCGTTTTGATGCCTGTGAACCCAGATGGTGCCTGGAATGGATTTGGCACTCGTTTTCAAGCTCACTTGTTCTGGGAATACTATTTTCTGCCATTTTCTCATCTGTCCATCCCCAGAGAGTGGGCAATGATTTAGGGTTAATTTGGCTTTTTTTGCTGATCAAGGAATATGGTTGCCAAGGATTAAGTGGTTTATCTAAAATCTCGGAGCAAAGAAATGGCACAGCTGGCTCCTAAAGCTGCCCTCTGTCCGGGGCCTGGATTTATGCAGTGGTGGCTGTGATACTATGCCATCTATGTCCTTCTGTTGAAATCGTGTGTGGGGTGTGTGTGTGTGTGTGTGTGTGTGTGTGTGTGTGTTAAAATATACATAACATAAATCTTACCATTTTAACTATGTTTAAGTGCACAATCCAGGGGCATTAAGTACATTCACACTGTTGTGTGACCGTCCCCCCCATCCATCTGCAGAACTTTCTCATCTTCCCAAACCGAAATGCTGTCCCCGTTAAATACTAACCCCCCATCCCCTCTCCCGGGCCCTGGTACCCACCATTCTATTTCCTGTCTCTATGGATTTGCCTGTTGTAGGCCCCTCTTATAGGTGGAATCATACAGTATTTGTCCTCCCGCATTTGGCTCATTTCACTTAGCACGATGTTTTCAAGGATGGTCCACGTTGTAGCGTGCATCAGACTTTTATTACTTTTATTACCTTTTAGGACTAGGTAATATTCCATACGTCCACATGTTGTTGATCCGTCATCCTTGACAGATGTTTGAATTGCTTCCACCTTTTGGCCACTGCGAATAATGTTGCTGTGAACTTTGGTTTATGAAATTGGTTTGTTTTTGAAAGTGCCACCTAGAATCCAGTCCACCGCAACCCACCATGTCACCAATGAGGGAGTTCCAGTCTCTCTGCCCTGTGTTGCCTCAGGAGTTCCCACCCCCACCGTCGCCTGGACCAAGGTAGGTGAATTCTGTCACCACGAGGGTAGCCAGAGGGGGTGGGGATGATGCAGATTGCCATGGGACCGTGAGCTCTGTCGATGTCACCTGTGACTCTACTGCAGGAAACCAATGCCCTGACCTCGAGCGGTCCCCACTACAACGTGAGCAAGGATGGGACCTTGGTCATCGCTCAGCCATCCACCCGGGATGCAGGGGCCTACATCTGCACAGCCACCAACACCGTGGGCTTCTCTAGCCAGGAGATGCGGCTCTCTGTCAACAGTGAGTGCTGGCCGCCCCGTCCTGGGAGCGGGGCTCGGCAGGTGTGCAGGCGGGGGCATAGACAGTCTGACCTCACCTGTGCCTTCTCTGCACCCTGGTAAACTCTGCCTCTGAATCCTTCCCATGCGACGGGCACGTAGGCCAAAGCCGTCCTGTCTCCGATCACTGCGGTGTGGCCAAGCCTTAAGAGTGGTTCCAGCTCAGCCCTTTGTAGCCGATGGCAGGCGGAGAGGGGGGACTGTCACATTAACACAGCCCTGTACTGCACCCCCCCACCTTGCCAGCCCCCTTGCCAGCCCCTCTCCCTGACCCTCTGACTTCCTTTTAACTTCTTTAATGCTCCGTCCTGCCTCGGGGCCTTTGCACGTGCTGCTCCTTCCGTGTAGAATGCCTCTCCCCGCCTCCGGGCCCAGCCGGCCTCTTCGCCATCAGCTCTCCCTGCTCCCTCGGGCTGGGCCAGGTCATCCTGCTGTGGAAGGTGGAGTAGCCCCCTCGCGACGCCTGTGACAACTGTGCTTAAATAATGACGCGCACACGGGCTGTTAGGTTCCCGTGGTCCTCGTGGGCTCTGTGCGCTGTGAGGATGGGGCAGGACCCGTCTTTGCTGCAGTTTCTCAGCCATCGCCACAGGGCTGGGCGCCCGGTGGCTGACCGGAGGAGGGAGCAGATACACAGCCGGTCTTCTGTCATGTCCTCTGAGAGCCGGTATTTTCATATCTCAAACATTTCTTTGTAAGGGGCGGGATTTCTCTCTGGCTCGTGATGGACACGCGAGGGGGACACGTGAGGGCTGCAGGGGTCTCGATGTCCCCAGCTGGCCGGCTCGTTTAGTTATGGGTGCCGTCGGTGTATGAGCACCACCTGGAAAGGTAGTGGGGTGTGAAGAAGGAGGGGTCCGGGGCAATCTCTGCCATCCAGAGACTTCGGCTTAACGTGAGAGCGAGGCGAGGTGCGCAGCTTAGTACAAACCCCCGACGGAGTTCGAGAAGGCCAGAGGGAGGCTGGGCGTCATCTGGTGGCTGATGTCCTGGGAATGAGTGAGGAGGAGGTAGAGAGAGGGGAGGACAGAACCTGCCTGAACGTCCCCAAGGAAGGCACCGCAGGACGAAGAGGAGCTAGAGAGGTCTAAGCGCGGGGGCAGGAGCAGAGGCATCAATGTCATGTGTCAATGTCATTGTGGCAGAGTGAGGAGCGGGCAGAGAGATGGGGGGCGGGGTGCTGGACAAGCCATCGGATCTGAGCCCACCCCAACGCCTGCACGCTCCCATTACGACAGAGCCACATCTACCTTCGCACGTCCCAGGTGGCACTAGCACCTCTGCTTCCTGGGGGACCCGCCGCGGGCCCCTCAGTGCCCCGTCCCATGGCTCCCTGACCCACTCACGGTTTCTGCCTGTTCCCACCAACAGCCAGGCCCGAGATCCGTGTGAATGGTTCGAACGGTACAGACAGTCCTCTGAGAGTCACAGCCAAGGCCGGCGACGAGGTGACCCTGGACTGTGAGGCCCAGGGCTCCCCACCCCCGTTGGTCACCTGGATCAAGGACTCCCGCCCTGTGCCACTTATCGCCGACAGGTAACTCTAACTGCATGGCCTCAGCCTGGGCAAGGGGCAGAGCTGGGGTTTAGGGGAAAACCGGCCTCAAGGTGACCAGTGATCCAGGAGGTGTGAGGACACTGTGGATGACCCAGGGGTGTGAGGATGTTATGGACACTCCCAGGTGGATGCGCAGCCACTGCTGCACACAGCGCTTTTGTCCCTGGGTCCCCTGAAGCCCCTCAGTGGACCTGCATAGAGTCTGTGGACACCCCGGGTGAGACCCCTCTGAAATAACACGCATCCAGTGTTTCACACACCGGCCGCCGGGAGCCGCGTGCAGACTCTCCCATGATCCATCCACATGTCTGAGCTGAACTGAGGCTTGGAGAAGTGGGGTGAGCTGCCTGTGGACACCTAGATGGAAAAGAATAATGCCATGTTGCCACAGGAGCCGCGTGCAGACTCTTATGATCCATCCACACAGCAGCCCTCGTTGTCTGAGCTGAAGAGGCTTGGAGAAGTGGGGTGAGCTGCCTGTGAACACCTAGATGGAAAAGAATAATGCCATGTTGCCACTGCGTCCTGACTGTGACACGTGCTCCCTCCTCTCCTGCTCCACAGCCCACGTGTCTGGCAGCCAGGATTTCTGACTCGGCTTCTCTCTGACCGTCAGTTACCCGGGGAGTGGGAGGGTGCTGGCCTGGGTGTCCTTCAAGGCCAGGCTGCACCCCGGCCCCTGCAGGGGTCTGGGGCATGGTGGTTCTAGACAAGAGGGCCTCAAAACTTCTGGAGCCCTTGACCCTTGGGGGTGGGGGGACAGCTGCAGCTCTGGCCGGTGACATCAGTCCTGGCAGCGTCTTTGAGAAGTTTCAGACCCAGAAGGTCTCTGAGCAGACTGCTGTTCAGCCCCCACCCCGACACACACACGTGGGTCGCTACATCTCAGAACATCTGTTTGCTGAGAACTTCCAAACCATGAAGGCCGTACCTCTGAATGCGGCCAGGGGCCTGTGTCTGGGCTGGGTCTGCGGCGCCCCCTCCCCATGCCCCGTGGGTGCGTGGGTGTCACGGCAGCTCCTTGTCGTGGGGGCGGGGGAGGGGGTCGGGGGAGCCTGTGTCGCTCCCCAGAAAGCCTGGGACGAACTCTTTGGCTGGGCAGTGGCCGGCGGCCAGGTGCTTTTTTATTTACGACTCGTTACTGAAATCGGGAACCACAATTCCCACGTGTTCGCCCTTCTCCTTGTGATGCATGAACGGACCCGCCGGGAGCCGTAAATTCCTGAGAGCCGCTTTTGCAATCGTGGAGTCGTGTTGTGTTCCTTCTCCCTTGTCCTCTCTGCTTCGTGCTGGCTTCCAGCTTTCTCTTGAGATTTATGAGATTCCAGGAGTTTATCTAAATGAGGAGCAAAATAGGCCCAGGGCTGGAGCCGGGGTGAAGACGCCCTCAGACTCGAGCACGGGTACCAGCTGGTTCCGTCTGCATCGTGCGGCCTCGGGTGGTCACCGGCTCCTTTGGGCTCGCTCGCTTCTCCCTCTGTGGAGCGGACCTCGTTTAAAGGACGCTCGTGTGACATGGTGATGGACGTGCAGCGCTCAGTAGGCCCTAAGTGCCTGAAAATCGCTGCCCTCGGTATCATTTTCCTGCTGCTGTCCATCCAGGAAAGCATCCATCCCGGCTTTTAAACAAATATCATCACCTCATCTGTTCTCCCATTTCGTTCTCACTCGCTTTTTAATAGAAAAGCTTTATTGAGATATAACTCACATGCTGTGCAATTCTAGTTCTTTTGTATATACACGGTTGTGCAGTCTTCACCACAATTAATTTCAGGACATCTCCAGACGCCCCCGCCCTGCCCACCAAAAAACCCATGCTCATCGTCAGCCACTTCCCATTCCTGCCCCTCCCCTCCCCTCATCCCCCCCAGGCCCTGGCAGCTCCAATCTGCTTCCTGTCTGTGGATTTATCTACTCTGGATATTTCCTGTAAGTGGGATCTGCGTGGCTTTCGCAGCTGGCTCCTCTCACTCGGCATCGTGGTCCTTAGGCTCGTCCACGTGGTAGCGTGTGTCGGAACTTCGTTCCTTGTCGGAGCTGAATAACGTTCCATCGTGTGGCAGGGCCGCCCTTGTCTATCCGTTCACCAGCTGCTGGACGTTTGCATCGTTGCCTCTTGCCGGCGAGTGTGGGTGACCTCCCCGACTTTGGGTTGTATTTAAACTCCAACCCGGGCTCTGGTCCTGGGTTCCTGGGCCCCCCTGCCATGCGTTCTGGCAGCTTCTCCACACAGAGCGAAGCTCAGTGTCTCCCGGACACTCAGCTCCCCCTGTCCCATGGCCATTGAGCCAGAAAGTGGAGATTTGAAAACCCCATGGAGGACACACACTGAGGGTTTGGGGGCCGGGGGGATGCACCTGCTGTCTGTCTGCTGCTGCTTGTCTTTCGACTCCTCCTCCTTCTCTAAGGAAGATCCGAGGCTCGGCTTCGAAGTGGCCATTCTGGAAGCTCGAGAACTTGGATGAGTCGTAGGCATTCGTCTGCCTCCAGGATCCAGCTCGGCTCCCCGTCGAGGGGAGGCGCCCGCTGCTGACCATGCTTCTGTGTCTTTTCCCCTGGGGCCGGGCCTGGTGCTTCTTCCACCTCATCTGCGGGGGCCCCCTCCTGCCGTCCCTGGGAACTCTGTGGGATGGTCAGGTTGAGAACCACGATGTGGCTAAGCCTGGGAGGCCACTTCCATCTGCATTCGGGCAGGTATGGCCCTGCCGTCCTGCCAGCCATCCTGGAGGCGGGCAGGGCGATGGCGTGAGGGCACCATGCGTGAGGGCAGGATGCACTGAGGAGGAAACCCCCGTGGGGTGGGGCAGAGCTGGGTCCGGACCTTCTGACTCCTGGGCTGGACCCTGCCGGGCATTCACACGTGGACACGCACACAGACGCACAGACACACGGACATGCACGCAGATACACACAGATGCACACAGACACGTCTGTCCACATGACCATGTGTCCACATGCACACACATACACATAGACACACAATCACACATACAGTTACACACAGACATGCACGGACACGCACACAGACGCACAGACACACAGACATGCACGCAGATACACACAGATGCACACAGACACGTCTGTCCACATGACCATGTGTCCACATGCACACACATACACATAGACACACAATCACACATACAGTTACACACAGACATGCACAGACACACGCACACACGCACACAGACACACGGACATGCACGCAGACACACACAGACGCACCCAGGCATGCACAAGCATACGAATAGACACACATACACCGGGCTTCTGGGCCAAGGTCAGGCGGGGCCGCTGCTCTCTCTGGAGAGTCTAGAGTCTTCTGAGCTCTCAGGGATCCTTGATCCCTAAGTCAGAAAGTCCTAATGGAAAGAAAACGCAGTGGGAGTCAGAGTGGCCGTGACGTCTAAACCACCTGCTCGTGTCCACGACTCTTCCCGATTCGTTCCCGTAGATGCTTTTATGAAATGAAACAGTGCATCTTTTATTCTGCCCTCGTCACTGACATTTTCGCCCCATTTACCCGTTTTCTTGATTCATCCTGGCCCGTGTCACTTGTTTTTCATTTCAAGGCCAGGATAACATCGCAGGGCGTTTGTCTCCTCGTGGCTGGGCTGTTGCTCAGGGCTGTGAGGTCCGCCGCCAGTTTTCCGCGGTCGTAAATGGGGCTGTTGGAACATCTTTGCACAAACGCTTCTCTTTATCTTCTGATCGTCTCTTTGCGGGATAGTTCCGAAAGCACACGTCTGACTCCAAGGGTGGGAATGGCCGTGGAGTGCTTCTGACCTGTGGGACGGCTGTTTGTGAAAAGCCCGTGTGCGCTGTGAATTCACAGTCGAAGGCGGTGGGATTCCCTGAGCAACTCGTGTGTCCAGGCGTGTGCCGAAACCACGGCGGGGAGGGATGACACGGGCTCTGCCGTGTGTGAGATCGGGGACAAAGACCTGGGGTCCCCTCCCAGCCCGGCCCGGACTCGCTGAGTGAACGTGGGCAAGACCCTTCGCGACTCTGTGAGCCTCAGTCTTCCTGTCTGAGGAATGAAAGGGTTGGACGGGTGATGGTGGCCAGAGAGTGTCTCACGGCTCCGGTCCCATGATTCTGCCCCGGAATGCTGGGGCGAGGCGGTGTTGCTAGGCAACAATGTTTGTTTGTGGTTCTGATGTGTAGCTGGGACAGCTGCGAGTGCTCCTGGCCCGCCTCAGGCTCCCTGGGGCCGCTGGCCGGGGGCCCACACGGGGCCAAATCCAGCCGCATCAGGGGGATGGAGAGGGGGCGGCTGGCGAGGAGGGGACAGTCAGAGGATGGGCAGTCAGCACCCCACGCCCTCTCCAGCCCAGTTACCCCGGGGCACGTAGGTGGGGGCTGCAGCTGGGGTTCCGGTGACCCGGGAGACAAGCCACTGGCATGGCACAGACTGCCCAGGGGCACCTGGTGGGGTCTTCACCTCGGTGGGTCCTCACAGCTCGTGCTGCTTCCTGGCCTGGTGGCTCTGGTGTCTGGTCCTCTCGGGCTCCCGCCAGCAGCTCTCTCTCTGGAAAACTTTGCAGTAAACTAAACATCTGAACTTAACATTTAGATCAGTGGTCCCTAACCTTTTTGGCACCAGGGACCGGGGCTCCTATGAGCATCTAATGCCCGATGATCTGAGGCGGAGCTGAGGCGGTGATGCTGGCGCTGGGGAGCGGCTGCAGATACAGATGATGCTCCGCTCGCTCGCCCGCCCCGCACCTCCTGCTGTGCAGCCCGGGATTTGGGGACCCTGCTCCAGATTGCTGCAGTGGTTGGCAGTGCAGTAACAGAGTTTGCAAGGCGAGTCCCAGGTCTGCCCTGGCCGGCTGGGTGGCTGCGGATAGCAGGCCTCCATTGCTCTGGTCACGGTCTCCTCCTCTGCACAACGGGCGGTGACAGGAGGACCTGCCGGCCGCGCAGGTTCGGCTGTTGGCAGTGTCAAGCGAGAGAGTGGGCGGAGGGTGCTCGGCCAC